AAAGAGTGGGATACTAAAATCATAGCATTGGAATGAAGGGCAGAATAATACGTTGGCTCACTTGCTCAGATTTGAGGGAGGAAAATACACAGCTATGCGCAGACATTTCCCTCTTTGCCCAGCAGAGATGTGAATGGGGAAAGGAGCTATATACACCCAAAAAAGCCCTAGTACAAGGTACTGTGTTGGCCAGAATTCTTGCCAGACAATACATTTCAAGAGTATGCTACAGCATGTACCACAAATCCCACCCGAAACTTGTGACTAACGCCTTTGTATAAAACAAGTATTTAAAGTAAACCAAGCATTTAAAAAATTCCACATATTTGCAGAAATATTACATTTGTGAAACATTTAAACAGAAAACAAACTAAATTAAATAGCTGTTCAATGCAAATTGTTGGCCTTACTCCAAATAAATGTATTTTAGAAATTACATTATATGCACTAGTAAGCTTTTCTTACACCTTGGCTGTTTTCCTGCTGCAAATTGGGACTATGGAATCCCTTGGTGGTCATACAGTTTCAGATTAGAGCAGTATAAAAGAAAGATTTAGATCCAACATTGAAAAGCACATAAAAATAATGCACATCTTACGTTACACCAGGATGAAGATTGTATTTCTTCTTTCCAAATCGGGTCTGCTGCGCAAAGAAATCATAACGCTCTGATTTCTTCCACATGTAATAAAATGCTACACACTCACCAACTGATCTTGTTCGTACCTAGGAAATATGTGCCATGCAAATTTTGATGAATTTAAATACATTTTTGGCAAAAAGCTACCATTTAAATCAAAAGGTGTGAAATTCAAAGTCAATGCTTCTTTATAAAACATAGGAAATAGTGGAAACTATTGACTCAAAATTTCAGAGGCCCAGAAATTGAAATGCAAAGTTTAATAGTGTTTCTAAGAATACTGAAGGTATCGTGAGGTGCCGCAAGCAATAGCTTCAGGAGAAATACTCAAGTCTGTTTCACCAGTCTATTCAAGACCAGAATAAGACTCTAGGGATGCAGATCTTCCCCTATGTATGCACAGCAGGATTTTTGCACTTTTCTGAACTTAGGGTTCACAGCCACAGTTACAGAGGATTCTGGACTTTGACAAACCAATTTAGACATATATGCAGTAAAAATTAGAAGACGTAAATATGGTAATTTGTGAAGGAAATGGAGGATAAGAATTTATTTACAATTACGTTGCTTTAAAAAAAAGCTGAGAACTACACTTAAAATCAGTGTTTACCTTATTTGCCTGAATCACATGAAAATCCTTGCCATAGACTTTCAGTCCTTGTTCAAAGTTCCTACATTCTTCTTCTGTCCAAACAGATAATTCTTCTATAGCAAGGAAATGTAATAAAGAAAATACTTAACAAAAAAGCATACGGCCAATAAAAGAAAACTTAAGTGACAGAAAACATACGTGGTACTCAAGTTTCTTACACCATCTGCTGACTAAATGAGAACCACCTCCAGAAATTTCACTTACTAGTACAAAATTGAAAATTCTCCCTTCTAGTGAGTAGGTGGGAAACTTGGCTGCCTTAAGTAGCTCATCAGTAGGGACTGTTATAAATAGTCCGTAACTCCAGCCCTGCTGCACGGGGGAAATAACTAGGCAGCAGAAAGAGGAAGAAGGGCTTAGAAATTTGGTCTCACCATTCTGCCCCTAGAACCACAGGAAGCAGGTATCCTTCAAGCCAGGACACAGCACGAAGGAGCTCATACTATGGACTCTAACTGGTTGCTGGTATTTGGAAGAAGCAGGGGAAAAGGAATGAGGAATGAGATCTTTACTGCTGGCAAGAGCCAGCAATGACAGGCTGTTAATTCCAGTTAGGTAGAAAAAGAAACTGTGCTGCTCACACTATTGGGTGGGAAATCTTGGCCCCCCAGAATAAACCCCTAATAACTTTCAGCCAGACTTCTAAGAACTTAATATAATTTGGCCTTATTGATTCTTAAGGTCACGAATAAATAAGGATTAAAATAGTGGGAGAACAAACTAATCTCTATTTGATCATTCTTGTCTTGTGATTTGCACAGTAAACTCTGGAGAAGCCACAGGTTTGAAAGCAGAACCAACAGATCAATGTGAAAGGAAAACAACTTGTGCCTTCTCTTAGTTTCTTGTTCCTTTGAGTATAAAGATCAATACCAAAACAGGAAATGCTTAAGGCTCCAAAAGCATCTTTAAGACCAGGGTCTTTTTAGTGTTATATTTTTTAAAATAAAAGATTTAGATGCTCATTCTCCTTTATTTAGAATTGTGAATTATTTCATTTTATATGTTTGTTCCATTAACTTTGACGACTGAAAAGGACTAGAAGAACAAAGAACAAAATGCCCAAGAAATGCACTATCCAGTTGCTAAGAAGTAATTTTAAATGTTAACTTTTTATTAAAGTCACAGATATAAATATCAAGCTTTACTGACAGGAATTAATTTACATGCCCTCTTTGAGCACATACCTGTTTATACTACATCTGCTAATTTCATTCTCTCAGAGAACAATAAGAGATTCACTGAAGGCTGCATTTAAATGGGCACTGATATTTAAGGCTTACATGCAGTCAAGCTCAGTCTGCTGACAGCAAAACCCAATACCTGTGTAACAGATAAAATGAGAGTTCAACAATATAAACTTAACTTTCAGTGTATGCTCACCTCTGGCTGCTTTTACATTAAATCTCAACCTTCGTAATGATTCTTCAGTATCAAAATTGCACTTAACCAGTTCATACAATGCCTGGAAAGATGAAAAGACATACATTTAACATTCTAGATACCACCCAATTTATGTTGTGCCACAGAAGCATACTTAGTAAATCACTAATACCTATTAAGAAAAGATTAAAAATAAACTCTTTGAATGAATGTAATATAATTCAAGACAGTACAAAGACGTATTTCCTCTCTAAGTTTCCAAATCTCTAATTACATAACCAAGTATTTTAACATTTTCATCCACTGCATACATTTGTAAATTAATGGGGTTTTTTGTATGAAGAAAAAAAATAAGTACGCATTCATATAGCTTTAAAAAATCTGTAACTGAAAGAACAGAACTCATTCATACAAAATAATTTATATACAAAATAATGCACTGATACATCAAGCAATGTTAATCCTAAGTTAACAGTTTAATATTTGTTGAGAGGAAAAAACCCATCACATTTCTATTTCCACAAAGAATAATAAAGCTGTTTCAAAAGCAATTTTAATTCTTGGCAGTAAAATAAATAAAATAAAGGGATAATTAATTCTGCAGTATTAAACTACAAATCCTAATTATTCTTATATACCTGCTCATTGTCTTTAATATGTGATCCTTCAGGAATTGCATCTAGGCCTTTCTCATCACCAGTACGCCTTGATGCTTCATTTAGGAACTCGATCACTTTATCTTCTGATATGAAGTCAGGATTCCACAGCAGCTGGTCATCATTTTCATACACTGAATTAACCACAGGAAAAAGAAAAACAAACTAAAGCAACAATATAGAAGTTTATTCTCTCTTATAAAGCTAGTGATTATGAAACCTTGGAAGATCATTAGAGCATCAACATTAATCCAGAACACACACAAGAACAGGTAAAAGATAGTCTCCCAAATGCAGTGATCCAAATGACTAGGATACTATACCTTATATTGTCCTCAAATCTCTGGCATAATCAGTGCTCTAGATTCTAGGACCCATTTATGAAACTCCAGAAACTCCACCTTCCCCGTCCTCCTCCTGAAGCCACTCGAATCACGAGGCAGCAGAAGTACCTGACACAGTCCCTGAACGATCCATCCAGCATGCCTTTTCCCTAAGCTGCACCGTTTTGCTGATGGCAGCCAGCAGACACGGAAAACTGTTTCAGAAACTAATTATATCTGTCTTCTTGCAAGACAATTAGGATCAGTCACAAAAAACCAAAAAGTGCACCACCAAGAATGGTGCTAAAAACACTACTAGGTATCTGGACCACTAAATGTAAGTGTCTCAGCTAAACGGCTGGCAAAAGCCGCAACAAGGTCCACTACTCCAGGGAAGATGACACCCAGATGCCAGACATTCTGAAGTCAAACAGCTCCTGAAAGGAAACTTTGCTAAGACCTTCCTACTACTTCCGAGAAATACCTTCTAAAACAAAATCATTCAGGTAAAGATTGATGAATTTTAATACTACCAAATCTCTATTGTTTTTTTCAGAGCTCTTGCATGAGCTTTCAGACCAGGGAAACCATAGTAAACGGAAATTTATGGGAGGAACATGGCCAAAAGATAAATCCTCTGAGTTACCTCCCATTTTTATTTTGAAGAACCCACAAGTTTTACAGGATTAAAATACCAGTACAGTAAAATAAAGTAAAATTCAGGTTATTAAAAAACAGAATCAGGAAAGTATCCAGACCTTCCTTGTGTCTCAGTCCTCAGTGAAAGATAACCTTACAAAAACCAGCAAGAAAGTAACTTTAACATTGATTCCATTAGCTTGGTGAGCACCTTTCACTCTTACTCAACAAGAGAAAGGAGAGAACACTTGGGAAAGCATGGTCAGCACAGGAAGGGAAGATACAGTAGCATACTGTGCAGGTGGAAAGGTCAGAGTGGCAGCTAGGTGCATCTCCACTTGAAAAAAATTATTTTCAACATGAAAGTAGACTACAAATAAAAAACCAAAACTGGTAAGGAAAATTATTAAGTGTCTTGCAAAGACAGCTCCATTTTACGAACAACATACTCTTTGGAAACAGCTCCCAACAATTTTCTACGAGCTTTTTTTTCCCAAAAGCTAGTCCTAATCTGATGTTTGGTTGCTCATTTAAGAGAAAGATTCTAGGTATCTTGGGATACAAACTCCAGCAGAAGCAACAATTCTTTTCAGGAGATAACTGATAATTGGTTCTAAGTCACCCTTAATGATGCAAGCTAAGTACACTGCAATGTTTATGAATGACAGCGGCCAGTAAGTCTCAAAGCAGCTTCAGCACCTTTCAGTTTTCAGAGCTATCCTTCGATTTTCAAGTCCAAGCCTTCCGAAAACACAACTTTTAATTTTGTATATTTTTCATAACCTGAAATTGTTTAGTAGTAGCTAATTTGGTCTCCAGGCATAGTTCTCAGAGAGCCAGTCCACTGTAATTAGCTTAGCGTAGATTACATGGTCGTTTTTTCCTCACAACAGCATGTCAGAACACATTCTGAAAAGCAATGTGGTTATTCTTAAAAGTTCTAGCATTTTTGTGCTTTTGCTTATGGGACTGGATATGAAAGCACTAGCCTTCTTAGTATTTGGGAATTTTACAATTAGAATTTCCCCTTCATTAGAGAACAACTAAGATGATGGGATATGTACATGCAAGTAGTAAATACATAGTCTCAGGCATTTATTTTTCAACTTTTTAAGCTTCATTAATATTCCAGGTGGAGTCCTGTCAAAGATTACATCCAAAACACAGCAGAAGGGAAAGAAGTGGCAGAAGATATAAAGCCCCACTGGTATACAAAACTAGAACAGCCCTAACTTTTCCCCTCAATGGTTTTTGCCCATGACATAGGTTCTCTGTTCTGCAAAGAGTAGTGTGCAAGACTATGAAAAACTGTTTTATATAGGTTACTGCAATGCACAAAGCAGCTCTATCTTTTTTATTACTGGAGGCCAGAAGCCATTTAGAGCTGAGTAAATACCAGGAAAAGCAGGTGACTGACCAGTAAAGCATCATTTACTGCATCTCAGGCAAATACATAGTTCAAGCTCTATTTTCAGATAGAAGCAGGAAAGCATGCAAAGAGCAACTTCTTCACAGCTGAAAAGCAGATGTTTTCTAATTTGCCATTTTCTATTTTTAATGGAAGCTCCTGACTTCTCACATAGTTTTAAATTACATTCTCTTCAACCTCTCCGGCTATGGAGTCCAGAGCTGACAGAATGTGTCAGTGTGAGCCTGCTCTAAGTCAACAGCAGGACTGATGCTCTTTCTAGACAGTTTCTAGCTAGATCAGGCTACAGCGTAGCTACCGCAACCTGGAGCTTGAAGCAAGACAACTGCTACTACTTGAGTGTATACTCGGATTCTAGGAAGGCACCGAGTTTTGCGCTGGTTAGTTTAAAAACTAACTTATATAAAACTACAAAAGCCACAGTCTCAAACTGACCTGCAGTGTAAATAAATTCTTAGTAATAATTTCCTGAATGAGCAGGAAAATTTGCTTCTTTTAAGCTCACAGCTGGGTTTAAACTGGGTCTACCTTTCCTGACTTGATTATACTGACAGCATACAGCCAAAGGCTCTGGTTGTGAGGGAGGAAAAAGTTCCTGGAAAAAAATTCAAAAGTAGAACAAGAGGTTCTTTAATACCGATTGAAGAGTTATAAAATGTGAAAATCAAAGCTGCTGGTACCATTTTGCCTCTTTTAACGTGTTAATCCAATTCCAGCAACACAATTTCTTTATTATCTGTTTTGTTTTACATAAACTAAATATACTAGGTGAAGAGGTCAACATAAGCTACATAGAAAGCTTGTGTATGTTACCAAATTAGAATACAAGGGTTCAGTCGGCAATAGGCCAGCAATATAATCTCAAGACTCAAGATCTGATGGTGAAGTACAGGATGAACTATAGTTTGAGATGATGGTTCTATTTTTCACTTGAAGGAGCTCTTTTATTTTGCAAGACACACGACATCAATCAAATCTTTTATTTCTCCCCATTAGAAAATAATCTCAAACATAGCGATAATGGTAATAGTGCTAAGTCTCACCTTTTTCATTCTCTTTGTATTTGCATATGCCAGCTGGAATTTCAGCTTGAAACATAGAGCCCACCATGATTTCCTGTTTTGAAATAACAGAAAGAGAAGTTAAGCAACCACAGCCGTGATGTTTTTTGTCAGCAAACAAGAGAATGACCACATCTTTTTTTACCCCTTAAAACTTTCATTGCTCAGAATCTAAAACTACAGTTAACAGGCACTATATGGAAATGTATTTTTGACAATTTGGGGAGGTCTTTAACGCTTCTTACTATCAAACCCCTTACATTTATGGGGAAAAACTGGAGAGGATTTGGGTGATTTATAGAGCTCAGAGTTACTAGGAAACAGATCAACCCATTATTCGTGAAACACAGACTTTTTTAACAGCCTGTAATATTTACCTTTTTCCAGTCTTCTGAGGGAATATAATCTTCATCTTCTTCAGATTCCTCTTCTATTTCACTATCTACAAGAAATTGTTCAAACAGTTACACAAAATGAGCTGTGATGGGGCCCGTGCATGCCAACACCAGCCTCCAGCAAAGCAGGCTGAGCGAGAGGGGACCTGGGACATCACAGGCAGCTCCTGGGAGCACCGCAGCAAGGGTGATGGGGGCACATGAACCCAGCCTCTCATTGCACCAGCCTCCAGGCGCACAGCAGCCCTGCTCTGCCTCACTGCCATCTTATCTAATACCACACAAACACAAATGGCAGTTTTAGTGACAATACTAAATGTTTCAGTATTGACAACTTTAAAAAATGACCCACCCAAAGTTCACATTTAGAATGGATTAAGATACACAACAGGCTCTGAAATTTTAAAGTGCAAATGAACACATCCATCAATTTTACTACTACCTAATTAAAACCTGTTTTCCCTCATCCAAGCTTTGAAGCAGTTGAGATGATCCACATCCAAATTTACTACAGACTGTTACTTTCTGAAAGTATTTTTATGTGGATGTTCAGCATCCACATGTGGGTTTCAACACCATTTTCAATGAGCTCCTAGCTTAGCTACTGCTGTTCTTTTTCCCTTACAGCAGCTGTCACTGAATTTAAGGTAGACTACAGCACAAGGTGCAAGAAATCTGCTTTTCTCAGTCTTACTGGGATTTAGTAGGCTTGGATGTACTGCTCAGAGATGCACAGCAGCACTTAAAGTAGATTATTTTGGATAAGGACTGACAAAAATTTTAAGCTCTTTATGATATAGGCTAGTTGCCTTTCACAATATACTGAAAGCGACTGAAATATCTGGTTTATGTGTAGCATGTGACAATATCAGCACCAAAATTATTTATACATTAAATTACATTCTATACACAGCTGAACATTGTAAAAAAACCCCAAACCCTAATGCAATCCACTTGGATTATGCTAATGCTATGTTTAAAAAATAGCGTTCATTTAAGATACTTGCAATCCTCTGCACAGCTACGTGCTGAGGTTCCTTGGCATTTTTGGATTAAAATAAACTACAGATTAGAAAATGGCATTTCTACAATGTCATGGTTAATAAGTATCAAGTATAAGGTATCATAAGGAACCTTTGCTTTAACTTTTGTTTGTTAAAACATAGAACAGTAGGAATTCAAACATCAGCGACAGTCACTTCCATCAAAAAAAGGTAAAATATCTGTTGTCCAAATGGCCCTGCTGATAGCTCAATACTAAAAGGTTCAGATCCCCTTAGGTAAGATTGCCACAGAAATGAGAGTTGTCTAAAGGGACAGCTATGTAACACTAGCTCAATAGTCTCAAATGGATGCAAAACCAATTTTTAAACAAAAAAAAGAGAAAATAATCAGTCCATATTGATGCTGGCAACAGTATCAAATGTGGAATTCTTGAAGCAAATTTTCTTCATCATTATCTCCCCCTTCATCATTTCAGGTTTAACAATCTATTGGCCTTTTTCAGATTTCATTGCTTTTGTTTTCTGTATTAGCGATCTTGAAGAAATCTGGGGTTCTACTTCCAGTAAATTTCAGTTTTTACTTTTTCCTTTAGTTGGATGCTCACCTTCTTTGAATGAGTACATAAACTGGTGTCACCAGGCCTTGTCATGATAATCACACACTGTGCAACAATTATCCAGTTGGAACAGTTCATTTCCTACTTACAAATATTTTACCTATGTCCTTAGCATGAGCTGCAGCTGAAACTACGATGGTAAGGTAATACCATACTAAACAGTTATTTACCACACCTGGACTCCACGTACAAGAATATTTTTCTGAAGGGCACATCCATACAAGCCAGTTTGCAGGATCATAAACTGGACTGTTACAACACTCGGAGTGGTGTCATGGAAGGATTTACGCTGTCTGAAAGCTTGCTTTTTCAAAACTGTAGAAATATAAGTTTTTCTACAAATTCAATCCTTTCTTTTAAGAAGAAAGAATATCTACTGTCCTTATACAGAGTGCCTTATTTGCAGAGAAGATTTAGCATTCAGCTAAAATCAGGACTTTTTTGTTGACTATTATTTTGAGCATAAGGATAATAGAGAGCAGTGTTATGAAAGAGAACAAACAAATTGTTTATAGGTATCAACATGCATATTTCAGAAACAGAATACGATGTTAACTGGAACGGTTTTAACCAAAGGTCAATCATACTGAGATTACTGTGCTTAGTACTAAACTGTACATACTTGTATCAAAATATTTACATCGACGAGGGCGAATTATCTCCTGTGGATCTTGAGAAGCAACAGATGGTGCTGGGTCGTCATTAGATGACTGTGTCTCATCTTCCTGACCTGATGAATCTTTTATGGTCTCCTCCTTAAATATAAAAAAGCAAACAGGAGATCAGCTATCCCTTGTATGTGACAAACACTATTTTGGCAACATTTTTTCCAAAATTGTCAATATATCAAACCCAAATATCTTTTATCTGACTTGAAGTGACTGTATAGATTGCGGCCTGTCCAGACTGAGCCTCAACAAATGTGTAAACACATCATATTATTTATTGACCAGGATTTTAAGCAGATCAATTTAACGCTCAGACTCTAACATACAAATCAGAAATATGAATCACAATTAAATATCACGCCTAGTTTTTTAAATCAGTCAAGCAAATCCTTGCAGTTTTCATTTAATTTCATTTAACTTTAAATTTTACTTTGGTCTTTAAAACCCTTCCTTATGAATTTTCAACAAAAAAGGGGGGGGAATTATTTACTGGCTACACTTTTCTCAATCAAATGGTAATAGTACCTTCCATAAAAATTAATGTCAATAGTGTGGTTCAACCCCACAGGAACAGTGTATCAGTAGACTCAAGTATGCACACTGAGTCATTAAAAGATCAAAAATTAGAACAAGTTTCTTTCTTAGAAGATAAACCACAACAACTATGGGAATTATTACAATTAAGGAAAATTAAAATGATAAAGGTTAAAAAAATGTATTAGTGTTTTCTATTTCAATGCATGTTGTCAATATCTTTTACGACTATGTTGTAAGCACTCATACTTGCTAGTTCCGACACAGCACATAGCATTAGGCACAGCACATGTGTACCTTTACCAGCAACCAGAGTATTATCACATGTGCATCTTAAAGCAGATTAAAAATAGAAAATAGCTAAGTGTAGTATAGCTAAATAAGCTGTAGAAAGATGAGCACTTGCAGAAAAAGCTTGAATGATTTATAAAATTATTCCACCCCCACAGATGTATTTTACTGCCTCTCTGCTAAGAGCATGCAAGCATTTCAGAGCTCTCATTCTTGTACCCTGAGGCAAACAATCATAACAGGTTAGCTAGCTCTCTTCGTGCCCAGCCCTCCCCACCACCTTTGTTCCAACCCTATCAAAACTGGGGTAGAATAGGTGAACACATACATTCAATTCAGCCACAGTGCCAAGTCTGCAATTAGGCTAACCCATTGGCTGTGTTTACGGTGCCAGACTGTGAACGTTGCTGCTGATGGGCAGGACACTTTAATTTTGGAGAGCTACACTCCCTGCCTGTGGCAGGCCAGCTCTTCTTCTCCTCCTCCTTCAAGCAGATTATTGCCTTTTCATCTTTTAATTTTTAGCACAATGTGTCGAGCCAGAGAGATTTTTAAAACTGTCAGAAGAATTCATGTTTTTATTATTGTATTTATTCCATAATCATATTACTAATTCTTTGTTATTAATAACCCTTTGGCTGTGTTTCCGGTGCCTGACTGTGAAGGTTGCTGCTGATGGGCAGGAGTGCACTTGCTTCTGCAGCATGCTACAAAGTGTTAATGTCCTACAGAGGGACAAAGATGACTCCTCTTGCTGCTGACAGCAGTGACAGACACTGAGATTTTATCCATTTAAGAGAAAAGATAGGCAGTATCTTAAATCAGCTAGTAACAGAACTGAAGAACTACAGAGGAGGTCATGAGAACATAGAAGATGGAAGCTGTGTCAGGAAGTAATTAAGAAGCAAGGACACAAGAAGAAAGCGAGACTTCAGGAACACCACCATGCACAACAAAATAAACCACTTGTGTGTCTTAATTTTGCGTACTTCAGGTTATGTAAGTTTCTCCCCCTCTCCAGCTTCTTGAGCCTTTTGGGATGTAATATTGGGATGTATCTTTCTGGTTTTTGAACTATTCAATCCATACAAATAGCAATCTTTTACAGCATCTGTCAAGGGAGTTTGTAAATCCTAAGAACTTCATCACATATCAGATCAGAACTGAATCAGATATATGATTCCTCATCTCTGTGCCGCATTCCAGAGATTCTAAAATGGGTAAGATATCAAAGAACAAAATGCACCCTTTTTAAAGCCAGATTAGGTAATGCAACTTCCATTAATGCCTAAGCTTTTTTGTTACTGACAATACAAAGGGTTTCATATTTTAATGGAATTCAGAATGCAACTCTGAATGCCACCAGTAATGGAGAAGTTACAGCTGTGTCCATGACAGGACAGGATTGTTACAAATACGTATGACATACACAAGTAGAAAAGACTCTTCTAAAATCAGAAAATTTATTTTAAGAGCACACAGAACAGGATTTTAAAGATGCTAAGTTCAAAACTATACATTTTGCAAAGATATTTGAAGCATTAGATTCAGTTAACAATTTAAGTACAACCAGGGCTGCCAGCCTGAAAAAATACAAATTAAAATGCTAAAGCTAGAAAACTTGCAGCCATCTCCAATACTCAGAGACACATTTAATTCAATTCCACAATTCACTGTTCAGTTTCAGTAGATCAGCTTTTCATCTTGAAAAAAGTATTAAGCCATATCTATAAAGGTGCCTTCAGGCATTTAAAACTTCAGTTTTGAAGTCAGACTATTTCTGAAGGACAATTACAACCCCTTCTTAAACAATGCTATACGTATACAGGTACCCTAATTTGCCGCAGCAACAGTTTGGAATTATAGAGATGAAATTAAGAGCAATGAAGAGAAATACAGATGGGTAATTAAGAATAAACATTAGAGTTCAATACACAAAGCATCTGAAACCAAATATATTATCAATTACTTCTGCCATGATCTGGCATCTTCAGTGGTTGTCTAGTACAGAATGGCTGTATGAAAATCAGTTTCAAATTAGGGTAAACGCTTACTTTGTTTTCACCACTACAGCCACTGTTGTCATCATTATCAACATCATCATCATCTTCTCCCTCCTCCTCTTCTTCTTCTTCATCTTCATCATCGTCATCTTCTTGGAGTGGAATGGTACCATCATAGCCATAACGGCTAAGTAGCTCCTGGATTGGCATATCACTTTCCTGATAAACATCCAAAGAAAGTTTGAGATCTTAACAAAAGTCTTTCACATCCGACATCTGCTCTACAGCTTGAAGGTGCGCATTTTAAACATAACAGCAAGAACAGATAGATGATGATCAGGTATACTAACAACGGCCACTCCAAAATGAATGGACAGTCAAAAATAGAAGTTTCGGCTCCTAAGAAAAATGTGGGGTTTTATGCAGCGGAACTATTTCCTAATCCTTTATAAATTTACAGCAGACCTCGCATACCACCAATCTCTCAAAGGGGCCATAAAGCTCATTAAAAGGGCACCAAAGGGCTGTATGCCCCAGCCCTTCCTTGGTATCTGTCTACTGCTATTTGACCAAAACACAAGCACTGCGATGTGGCAGGTTACATCTGGTTACATCATACCCCTTCAGTACACAGAGTGAACACACTCCTTATTGGAATATATACTGGTATTCCCATTACCGCCCAAAAACTACCCAAAAAAATTGTAGTATTTTGTACATATTTGTGGAAAAAACAGAAAATGTGTCAGCAGCAACTGAGTCACACAGACAGCTAAGATATTGACAGTTTTTGCAGACAGGAACTTGTCCTAGTGCAAGGCAGTGATTTTTGCAATGTCTTCAAGAATTCAGCAGAATAAGGACCAGAACTTGAAGTATCTGGCTTGAACATGGAGTTTAATCTTCATTTGGGGAGTTGCACTACAGGGACAGCTCTACACAGCTCTCCAACCCTGGCTTTGAATACAAAATTACACCAAAAACACACCTCTCCGTCTCTCTGTGCCTCTCCCCTTTCTGGGCAAAACAAAAAATGAGGGGTTGGATGGGGGTGAGGGATCACCTTATATTCAGGATCACCTGATATCCACGTAAAGATAGTAGTAATGTTTACAGATCCATATACATTTTAAGCTAGTTGTCTACAAAACCATCCACAGTTGGAAGCAAATCCACTAAAACATGCGCATGTTTAAAAATCTTTATATTTAGAATGCTGGTCCACCCTGAAGAGACATTTCAAATGATACAGTCAGCTCTCGAATTTAGTGGCTCCCAAACTGTTATCAATTACATTCACTTTATTAATTAAAATTATTAATTGCCAGGTCTGCAAATTACTTTATTACTTTTAATACATCAGTATCAAGCCTTCTGGGCAGTATATGGCATCCCTAAAGAGATTTTTCAGAGCAGAAACTTTCAGAGAGCATTTTAAAATTCTCTCTCACAAGAACAAATCCATTTTTTATTATTTAGAGGTGTCTGCCTGCTCTAAATATTTCTTCTTAGTATGTAATTCTCAGCTGATAATCAGATTTTTTTAGTTATCGGCTGACCTTAAGACTTCCTCCGATGAACTCCTTTCCTAAGGGCCTTCACTGATCAACACACCTCTAGTTTCTAGAAACATACTAACAATACCAATTACAAAAGGCAAGTGTAGTTAGTTCTGCTGTGTAAAAATAAGAGTAACACAGGGGTTACCAGTACTTGTTGTCTGTGTACTTTATTTTATTTTACTTCAAAGAATTAAGCCATTCTACCACTTACTGGTCTACTCTTCGGTTAAGCTATATACAGAGCAGATGCAGACCATGTGGACCTAAATGTCCTCACCTTCCCTCTTGACTTCTTGGTCCCTATCGTATCATTTTATGGAAATAACTCTTAGAAGTGGGTAATTAATATTTTACTGAGGCAGACAACATGACAGGACTGTGATCTTAATTAAAACCTGACAGTACAGCCATCAGAAAAATCCTATTCATAATTATCCAAACAAATGTTCTCCAGTACATTTTGGAAAGTAATATACTTCCATTAAGCACTCCTCACCATTATCCCATTTGTAGATACAGACTGAGAATTGAAAAGAACTTTTACTACAATTCGTAGGTATGTGTGAACAATGTAACAGGCATATTACTATATATTACCTAGGAAAGCAGTATTGTATCTACAACATTTTTCTTAGGTAGAGCCTCTTAACTTCAAATAGTCCATTACAATTCAAAAAGCCCCAAGGGTCAGCAACTCTCCAAGATAAAATACAAATCAAGATTTCTGTATTGTTTCAGGATATTGCAAAAATAGGAAAGGTTAAAAAAGTAACAAGCCTTAACAAAGACACAGAAATTTCTTATGTGGAAGATGTTTAATAACAAGAAATGAGTTATAACTCATGCGTCTGGAGTAGAGGTTAAGTGAGGAGGAGTGATGTAACAGAGAATTGTATCACAAGCGGCACAGAGAAGGTAAATATAAATGACTGTACACTTTTCTAATTGAAGAGCTCAGGGACAACCACTGAAATGAACACAGAATAGGTCTGAAAACCCAAACATATTTCTCACACTAAATGAACTGCGCAACATTGCCACATGCCTCGTGGACACGAAGTTTACAGAGGTTAAAAATAAAATAGACAAACCCATGGGAGGAGGAAAAATAAGACCGACAGGCATTACAGACAAAGAGACAACATCTTTTTCATATGTGCCTGAACTGCACCCTGCTAGAGGCTGGAGAGTATTTGGGAGAAACACTGCATGCTTCCATGTATGGTTCTCTCATTTAAAGACAACAAGACGCTGGTGCATAACCCTAAGAAAACCCAAGAGCCCTCCCTGAAAAGGGGGACCCCAAAAAGACAAACCAAGTGATTATATGGAACAACAAATGGAAAAAAGAAAGGAGTCAAAAGCTTAAAAATCTGGAAGTAACGCAGGGAGGCACCACACACAGCACCCTGGCAATGCTCACGACTTCCTAGAGGCACCCAGGAAGCCTGCACACGCCACCCAATAGTGCTCTGCCCACAGACAGGGCAGCACACAAAGGTAAAGAACTTGGCCTCACACTCGTCAAATCCTCCATGTCACACTCCCTCCAGCTGATGCTTTGTACAGTCAGCTTAGCTAAGAGTAGGAGGAAACTGAGTTTCTGCAACTTGCTTGGGCGTGGTCATTTATTATTTCCAAGACAGAACATGAATGCAGTTTCCTACTACCAAAATTATGCTGCCAAGTTTCCTGCGTTTTGGAAAACTGCGGCGTCAGCATATGCCCAGGACGCTGAGAGATGTGCCTCATCCCAGGCACACCTTCCTGAGCACTCCCTCTTGGGCTGCTGAAGAAGGAATACTGGTTAGCCAGGACTTTGGCCGTATCTGGTATAGATGCTCCTACATACCAAAAGAATATTCCTGAATTCATGTCTGGATATGATCAAGGATAGTCTGCTGTAGCACCTCACAGATAGCTTTCCTGCCCAAGGAAAACTCTTACCTTTCAAGAAATATCACTGAGAACTACCAAATCCAATACTTCTGATTCCCTTCAGGTACTGCTCTGCTCTCAGGGAACTGTATTTTTTCCTATACTAGAGCAGCATAGAGGGCGACTTCAGGTCTCTAGATGCAGATATGTTACTGCCATTTAGACAAAAATGTATACGCGTACTTGCACAGACAAATGCAGGATGCTGCTCAACCTCAAGTACTAATGCATTACAGATTCACCAGAGTTTCAACCAACGAGTAGAAAAGATACTAAATCCTTACCCTCAGAGGAACGTGTAATTTTTATGACAGTCAGGAGTGAAACCATTAAGGTTCAAAAATGCTTTTGCAAATCCTGACTGCCACCTCGTCTCTGAAGGAGCTGAACTAGTAAATCAGGCACATGCACAGCCTGGGGGAAATCTAAAATAGTATGTGTAAATGTCAGGGGAAAGAAAAAGACAGGGTAGCACTTGTCTTGACCATAGTTTTGAGATTTAGATTGTCTATCATCCATGACTAAAAAAACAGACATAAAAGTAAGCCTTGATGTGCAGCCTGCTATCCCACAACTAGAAGTAACCATAGGTCTCTAAAAAGATCCTGCTGGCATGGAAGCATCTGAAACTCAGTAAAAGCCCTACTGTAAGATTCTCTACCAGTCTGTAAAAGCATTCTGCAGAGAAGAGTAGCCCACGGAGCAATGTGAATCTAAGTGATACCATTGCTCACCATCCTGATCACAAAAGAGCTGACACATGGAGAAATTATAAACTTGCAGCCCCGACAACCAAGATATGAGGGAATATACTGATGGCTGAAATACAGTTATAAACGAAGCATTGTAATGTGGTGATAGAATTACACGACCAGATGTTGACTCTTCACAAAATATGAGGGGAAAAAAAACATATTTTCAACTTAAAAACCACATGACATACATGTGGAGCTCCATTTCTCATTTAATCTAGATGATACATAATTAGATTCACAAACTATTTATCTTTATGTTTACCATTTAATAGCAAACCTGAAATTGCCAGAAAGAAGTTATCATTTACACCCGAAATGTAGTTTAAATGCATTAAATTAATTTAAAGTCATATTGGCATAAACTTATATTAAATAGGATTTGCGCATCGACTACGCATCCGAGAATCGTTAATGATCTGTTCTGGAAGCCTTTCCAGCCAATGAGGCCACAGACAGTATCTAAACTACTCTGCGTTTATAATCAACCTAGTTTGTAATTTAAGAATATTATTCCTGCCTGAGAAGTAATTTAAGACAATACATAAGTGACAGCATAACCTCAAAATGCCAAATAAATCTTATATGCAATTATTTCAGAAGCTACAAATTTTAAGATTTATCACTATAAACAATAATTGTGAGTTCTGATCCCAGCTCTGCTGACAACTTTGCTTTGAGCCAATCGTTTCATCTGCATCTCTGTTTCCTCTACCTTAAAAATGAAGATACTCCTATATGCTGCACTAAAGTATTATACAAATGTTTGTATAAAAATGCAAAAGAAATATAAAATTATGGGATTTTAAAAAAAAAAATCAAAATCTATATGCACTAATCAAGTGCAAGTGCTTTAGAAAATAACAACACTGGAATATACAAGTTTAGTCAGAGCATACTTTAACTTATATTAGCTATAAAATGAAAATCCAATACCAGCACATATATGCAAAAAGAAACTAAACAAGCACAGCGTTATACATTATTAAGTATTTATGCACCAGTTTCCTTTTCCCAACTTTTGAGAACTGCAAACTTAGCTCAGCCCCTTTCCCCCGTCTATATTATTTGTCTATTAGTGTTTTAGGGGTGGTTTTTTTAAAATTCCAAATATAAGGGAAAAAACCTGCATATGTTTTGTGTGAGACTGTGGGGTGTGGTTATGTTTTACGACTACTTAAGGCTACCTACCCTGTTAAGATCCTCTATTTCAGAACTGAAGTTTGTTTCTCCTTCCATCATTTCCTCCTCTTCTAATGTCCGTTCATCATCAAAGTCATGCACCAGCATATCAGCTGATGGATCAAATTCATGGTCATCAGATGTTGCTGAACCTCCTGATAGAAAACATTTTAAAGTTTTTAGTTAGATCATGGCCTCACAGAGTTTAAATTTTTATTTTGGTGACATTTTAATACTCAAATTATACTGAGAAATTAAAATATCTTCAAAATCCCTCAATCATTTATCTTAGGGAAAGCCAATCTCATTATTCAGAGGACAGTGAAAGCTGTCCTTTGGGTGATAAGAGATCATGAAAAAAAGAACCAGGAGATACTGTTTAACCGGCCAGTTCTCAAATTACTATATATCTGGACATCGGGCCCCTAGTTAAATGTTTGTAAAATGTTCAGTTTTTGAAGACTTAATTCCTAAATAATCATAAACCTGCCTGAATCAAGAGTTCTACTTGGAGCAGAAATAGTCATAAAATATCAACTCAGGGCAGTTGTTTCCTTGATACTTTGCAAGCTTTCTTGTTTATAACTACAAAGACAGTCTAATGACTTTTCCAAAATTTAAACTTAAAGTAAGCTTCACCGTTATGCAGATTTTATTTATGATGCAGAATCCTTAGTTATTTTTCCCCATGCAGTTTTTTCACAGTTCTTTGTAAAGAAGTCTGGTTATATTTTATGACAATGAAAAATAAATGAATGGATGAATGGTTTGGCAGATGCAGCATTTTTATGTAATTCAGCAATACCTGATTTCTAATTCCAACCCAGCTAACATTTTTCCACTTGTCTCTGTGGACAATTTAAAATTCATTTTCCAAGGCTTGAAGAGTGTACCCACACTAAGGGTGCAAGAGAGAGGGGTTGACTGTAAGGGTTAACTATACTTTGTAGTTTGAAGTGTTAAAGCAATTGATTGTTTCTCTGAAAGAAATAAGAGCTCAAGAGACAACAGCAGTCCAGCTAAAGTAACTACTGGAAAGCTCTTCCATTAGTAGGATGCCAAAACCCTTGGAAATAAGTAACACTAAGTACAATGGTACCAAAGTGAACAAAAACACCGCAGATATTCATAGTTTACACTTAGGCTGACTACTCGATAGCCGGTAGCTCTGGGATACTGGAATACCTGAAAATAACCAGCTTTAAAAACAGAAGTCATGAAACCCCTCATTTTTAGTAATCCAATGAGGTAAAAAAATACTGCTTTTCTTGCTGCTTTTGTTCTTGATGTATTATGCATAAAAACATACAGCAACCACATATCTATTAATTGAGAGCACACAGTGCCTTAACTTTTGACTCTGTATTTAACTCTAAAACCAATGGGTAGCCGTGCCTAGAGGGATAGTAATCGTATCGCTGGGTAAAGCAGTCTCTTCCATGCCCTCAGCACTCACTCACATTGTGCTCCTTAGGACGTCAGCATTCCCAAACACGTGTTCATGCAGCTTTTGCAATGACAAGAATCATATTTCCCCAGTGTATTTTACCATGTAGAAACTTGTGCTGATACAGACTGGAAGAAAGCAGTGACTACTGAAACCAGTACTGCCACCAATCTATTCATCATATTATATCCTTAGATTACTAACTGGAAGAGACCAGCAAAAATAATTTTTCACTCTTCCCTCGCAAGTTTAGGATACATTAAAAATATTTACCTGGGCTTGAAGATTCAACAGAAGGCTAAAAAAGAAAACACAGGAAATTATTTTTTCTATGTTGAACCTGTACAAACATCTGATATAAAGCAAGTCACTGCAAATAATATATTTACAAATAAAGCACCACAAACACGCTGAAGCAATTCAAGGTAAATAGTATTCATTTTCTCCTTTATGTAT